TTCTTAATCCCAATTCCACAAGGAAAAGAGCAGGAAGGAGCTACAACAGTCACTGGTTTCCTGAATGTGTCCAGTTCTGGGGTTCGTGAGTTTCCATTTGGGAGCTCAGTTCACTCCTTTTTGAAGTATTTGTTTTTCTGTGTTTCTAGAGCTATGTGCAATGCTGTTTCAGGAAAGGATGGCCTTTTGATGGCTGTAATTATGCTCTTTGTGCTTCCTTTGGTTGATAACTTGCTGCTTATTAAGCTGCTATCCTGAGCCTTATCCATCAGAATTTGGGAATACTCAGATTTGCAGCAGAGCTTGGTGGAGCAGTCAGATATTTCCAGTGTAACACGTTTATTTGTAAAATATTCATGTGCATGATTTTGCCAAACAAATGGTGAGCAACCATTTTTGGTGGAGCTGTCGATGAAGAGACCTTCGTGGCCTGCAAAAGGAGTTATCTTGGGCTTCAGTCTGTCTTCATGGCTCCCATCTCCATATCCAGCTCCATCTCTCAGACTTAACACCTAGTTAAATCCCCTAGTCCAAAGCTGGTTGTTGGAGTCACAGAGTTAAAGCTCGACGTGCCTAGTGCAGGAGCGTGATTTATGATCATCTTAACATCTGTGGGTTGAGGTTAGTGCATGAGCCCTACGAGCCCTTTCTGTGTACATTTGCACCCTAGTTGCTTATTATATGTCAGCAATCCTCAATGCACAAGCTATCACTAGCTTCAGCCACAACAATTAGTCCCCGTCCTGGATGTGTTTATTAAACTGAAATGTTTTATGGATATTAAAACTTCTTCTACAAGTAGGTGATTGTGTTATGTGATTTTCTTTCTGGCCTTTCAGAACTGAAAAATGCTTTTCCCTCATTCAGTTTTCAAAATGGAATTTGAAAGCATACTTTGATTTTAGCCTTGAATTCTAGAAGGCTGGGTGGTCATTAATTTAGGTGTATCTTATGTATCCTCTTGAAGCAAGATTAGAGGCTTCAGTTTCAATTTTCTCATTTCTGTTTAGGTCAGATCATTCTGGTAGAGCACAAGTCAGTCCTCAGCGTCAGGAAAATAGAAAGAGCTCCAAGTTCTCACCCTGATTTTCTCCTGAGCTCGCATAGATTGACCTTGCTTTGTTCAGCTGGCACATGTTTTTGCATTGATGGATTTTTGGCGACCATCCAGTGTTAGATATCTTACAAATTAATCGGTCTCATCTATACTAGCAAGGGTCACAGTGAATGTCTAAGCTTGAGTGAAGCATGAGAGATTATTTTCTTTCTGCTGCAAAAAGAAATGTAAAAAAAAAATGTTTTCCCTTGGATTTTAAAATTACTAATTACCAGTGAAAACGTTTTCCTGTATTTTAATATTTAATGGTACTACACTTAATTATATTGCAGAACTGAAGTGCACGTTCTGCTCCCTGCTCTTTGGTTTTATGAATAATTCTCTCAGAGTTGCTTGAACTTGATAATTTTTTGAGAAGCGATATAAAAATTGTCATTTAAATCATCAGCTTATAACATATACAAAAGTTTAGGTTCATCCTTCTGTACAAGATGTACACAAATGCTTAACTTCATTTACTGTGACTTGTCCCTTTTGGCTCAATGCATACAGCTAGGCACATGCTCTTAGTCTCTGCTGTACCAGAGTCTAGAGTAATGAATCAAAAAGGATTGATGTAGGCACTGGTAAAATGAAAATTCTCAGTAACATGCAAATCTGTGGCATTGAAGTCCAGCCAGTCCATTATGGATTAAAGTAAGGCTCAATTAAAGATGAGAGAAAATTACTGGCAGCCTTTCTAGAACTGACTACAAGAACTGGGAGGGAACCAGCACATACTTGAGCATCAAGCCAGCGTTTTGTCTTTGCAGACTTGAGTTGTTTTACCAGCAGCATGATGACAGGGATAGGGATTTGGTGTTTTGTCAGAGCACTGGCTGTGGGTCAGAGTACACCTTTCAACTTAACAGGGATACCCCAGAGCCTCTGCAAGCGGTCAAGACACCAAGTCCCCTAGGTGGTAGTACCCAAGTCCATCAAACAGCTTTTGATGTTAAGCAAGTGCATGTTTGCCAGATGTTGAAGAGCACAGCCCTGATTTCATTCTTTGGAATAAATCTGCAAAATGACCGCATGAGCTCCTTTGGTTGGTTCCCAGAGCATTTGTAGTAACACGGTCCCAGTTAAGAATGTCTGTCACTCCAAGTTCAGTGTTGACTGTGCCCACTGTAGTATAATTTTAACTTTAGTTGATTGAAATTACCTAGCAAAGATTACTTGGAGACATTTTTACCTGTCAAATTAGCTGGTAATGCAAATAATTGTTCTGGCCATCTTCTTCTGTTTGTTATGCATGTGGTGACAACTTCCCTCAAACATTGAGGATCTCTTAAATTTGCCTGTTCTTTGCCTTGCCAGCCTCTTTAGGCCCCATATTTTACAAAATGTATGGCTTAAGAAAACTAGTAATTACGGATTCTGCAGTAATAATATCTGGTATTTATTAATAGAGATAATGCAGAGAGCACATAGAAACAGGCAGCATTCCATAAGAATGAAACCTGGTATTTCCATACCAAAAGAAAAAAACAATTATTTAAGAATAGAGTTACATAGACTGAGCAAAGCCTTAGTTGTAAGGGGATCAGTGGCAGTTGTTTATTAGGCTTGTGTTGTTCATCACTTGTAAACATTTGGCAATCCTTAATTTAGCACCTGGGCTGAAGATGTATCTTCTCTTAAATTCAGTTTAATACTCAGAGACCTTGAAACTTTCAAAGATAAACATAGCAGCAATAGTAACAGCACCAGCATGGAGTATTTTACTCTTTTCGAGGTGTGTACAAAGGAATATGCCTTTCCCTGCTTCAGTTTGAGTACTATGTCTTTTGACTTGACTTCAGAAATATATCCACTGACCCAGAGCAGTTGCTGCATTTGGCTGTTGAGCATTAAGTGTTAATTCATGTAGAAATCTGTGAAATATGAAGCAGAAGCAGGCCGGTTCGTGTCCAGTCCAACTGGAAATGTCAGCGTGATAGTTCATGTTTTGTACACTGTGGCAGCATTGGAAGGAAAGATTTTTATATTTGGGTGACTTGAAGGCATTTGATAATTTTTTAATATTGTATATCGCTGAAGTCAAAGGAGGAATGCATATCACTGTGTGAACAACCCTGGGTGCAAAACTGAACAGAGAACACTGAAATATACTGGATGTTTTTTCGCCCCATCTCTTAGGGCTAGAATCCTGTTTTTTCTTGCATGTTTCCTTCAGATCTTTCTATTCTTTTTTCTTGGATATTTTTGCTTGTTGGATGCATTTTAGGTGGTATACAGACAAAAAAGAGGTGGTGATAACCAATAATTTAATATAGTTTGTTATATTTTGAAAGGCTTTTCTTTTCAGAGAAAGGAATATTCTGGGTGTTACTTGTCTTGGAACAAACTAAAGTCCACGAGTTGTTGACCAGGCAGTTGTGATGTGACTGGGATAGACACTCGAGGGCACAGCGACTGTCATGATGCTGCACAGAAAGGCCTTTGGAATGCTGCCTTGCTCCAGGCTCTCCTTTGGGATGCTGGCAAACTGCAGGGGATTGGAGCTGGCACTGTATTCTTTGCTGGTCCAGTGTTCAGACGATGAACATAGCCAAATTCTTCTTCCATTTACAGTGACACAACGGAATAGGTCTGTTGGTCCTGGCAGGGGGGGTTCATAGCTGCTGAACTGCAGCACAGTGTCTAGCACCTTCCTCTCCTACCGAGACTGTTTGGAAGCCGACGGAGCCAGCTCTCGTGGGGTGACGCTGAACCATTGGTGGAAGGCCCATGCCAGACATACGTGTAACTTGCATCATAGGATGTGGCCTTGAGAGATGGTTTCGGTACCAATTCAGTGGAGAGTAAGTTCTGCAACAGCCCGCAAAGGGTGAATTTTTAAAAGATCCATATATCGAGACCATAGAACTCGTATTTTGAGAACATTGAGGGGAGCACATGGGTGTCCACCTTGGTTTCGGTTTGTAGTGCCCTACATGGTCAAGAATGCACATTCATAGATTTCCCGAAGGGCTCAGCTTGGCCATCTAGTTTGCACAGCACAGGCTAGAAATGCAGAGTCTGCAGAGCAGTTATATTATTGTTTCTGCATCTGCCTCATGACTTCTTTTTTGAGTTAACATCTGTTTTTCAGAAAGATTTACTCTATTTTGATCTAAAGCCTATGTAATAAGCTAATTCGAAAGCTTTTCTGTCCTCATGATATGATGCCACTAGTGCTGTTCATTAGAGATGTTTGATCCAGAGTAGCTTTTACTCTGGTGCAAGAGAGAACAACCTGGTGGGTGTTATTTTTGGCGCCTGCTTTCCAAAATAGTTTGCTAAAACCCAGATTTTACAAGTGCTCTGACACACTGTAAAGTCTTTGTTTGCATCTTGTACGTTATTTGAAGAAGCAGACTGAGACTTGGATCAGTTTGCTCAGTGTGCCTGATGGAGCGAGACTCTTTAGTGTTGCTTCCTGGGGAGTTTTTATTAAGGCAGAAGCTATGGTCTGTAGTTTATTTCAGCTCAGAATCATAGAATCACAGAATGGTTTGTGTTGGAAGGGACCTCAAAGATCACCTAGTTCCAACCCTCCTGCCATGGGCGGGGACGCCTTCCACCAGACCAGGTTGCTCAAAGCCCCATCCAACCTGGCCTTGAACACTGCCAGGGAGGGGGCAGCCACAGCTTCTCTGGGCAACCAGAACCGAACACCTAGAGTGTTAGATCAGGCCCTTTTAGCTTTTATAGGGGACGGTAAATAAATAACGTACAGCTCTTTATTTGCTATGGTGCATGGATCAATTGGCACATCTAATTTGTTGCTGTAGCTCTTTCTATTAGATTTTTGTGAAGTGCACAGAGCCTTCAATCGTATTCTTTCAGCTTGGAAAAAGTCCTTTGTTTCCTTCTCCCTCAATAACGGGCAGCGTACTCTCTTTTTCTCACTGCCAAGGGACGTATTGCCAGCAGAGAGAAGTGGAAGCTATAACAGAAGGAGATGAAGACAATGAAGGCTGCTGCTGTTGTAAGCCCGGGCACTTGCCTCACTTATTATCCTGTAATGCAGCCTTTAACCTCCGATGGCTGACATGGGAAATAACACGAACCCAGTACATCCTGGAAGGATACAGCATCATTGATAACAACGCCGCAACAATGCTGCAAGTGTTCGATCTGCGGAGAATACTTATCAGATACTATATAAAGGTAAACTCTTTGGTAAAGTGTACTTTATTCCTAGGCAGGTTTGTCAAATAGAAAGAATGCTCGCTGTCTATAGCAGAAATAGCATTTTAAGTTATTTGCTTTATATTTATTTGTTTGCAATACCAGCAGTCAGACTGACTTGACAATTAATTCCTATCTCCCTTTGCTACATTTGATTCTGACCACTTATACTTACAGTTAGTACAGAAAATTGCAGGCACGCTTAAGCAGAAATCAAGAAGGTGAGTTAACATCTTCCAGTGATTGAAGTCAGGGGGAGCATTCTTACAAAGCAAAACCTCACTGACAGTTTGTTATTTCTTCCTGACTTGGCCTTTCCACTGTTTTTTTCTGGAGGAAAAAAAAAAAAAAAAAAGATCAACAAGCATAACATTCTTGGGAAATCTCTGAAGAGCTGTTTCTCAAACGTACTTTCTTAGTAGTGCAAACCCCCTTCTTACCTGCTGTTTTACATATATACCACAACACATTTGAAGTTGTTTTATTCCATTGATTAAACAGCAATTCATTTACATCACTTCTGTCTTTGCACTGTTATTAAGATCACAATGACCACACAGATATTAATTTGTCAAAGTAATTGAACCTTATAGTCTAGCAAGATGTCTTCATCCTATGCCAAATGGTTTCCAATCCAGCAAATGAATAAATTGCTGAACTTTATTGTCTTCTTCTGAAACAACAAGAGCCAAATGCTGCCTCCTGTGCTACTGGTACTGCCATGAAGCCAGTCACCAAAGCTCCCAACCATCCATGACATCCACTTCCTACTTATATCTCTGCAATTGTAAAAATCCTGTCAACCTTAGAGAGACACCTGTTGTGAATAAATTAATCACCTTTTTTTTTTGCAAATGAGCCAATGCAGTAAAAACAAGATCATTGCCTCACAAAGCTGCTTTGATCATGCAGTCAATTACTTTGTAAAATGCAAACTGGGATTTCAAAAATAATTTTACAGGCAACAGGGCCTGGTAACCAACCTGCTTTGTTTAATTAACTTCTTAGAAACAAAACTGCATGTGAGCATGATGTTTTCACTTTAGAAGTGGGTTTTGTGGCTATAAATTAAATTGTTTTTAAGCAAATATCTAAACTAAAAAAAACACCAACACCTTCTTTAAACTGTTATGAATATGTTGCTACAATTGCTTCACTTTACTTTAAAAGGTAACCTAAATAACCTGAACATAAACTCATGCAAGCTGATATGTGACTCAGCTTTTGAAGGTGAACGAGACTTAAAAAATTCCCACTCTAAGCTGCAATTAAATCAGCTGCTTATTAGTTTAAACCAGTGAAGAATTGTGCTTTGTAAACTGGAACATTTTTAGTGCCTTTAAATCAACTAATATGTAGAGGACTTGTGGAAAGTGTGAGGTTCATCACATGGGAAGTAAAATCTAACTGAAAGCTAGTTTAGGGCTTCTGGTTCTGGACGTACCTGAGAAGCAGCTGCTATAGGCACGATTGCTGAGACAAACTTTTGTCCCATGTGATGCCGGTGTGGTTAATTGATCCTGTTTTGAGTAAAAGAGAGGTGGGTTAAACAGTCTGTGCACTACTGAGGTATGCTGTGGCTCCATCTCCACTGTATGCAGAGTTGGTTACATCCACCACCTATGGCTTTGAAGGTGTGAAAATCGAATCTCTTTTGATTGGATTTAGTTGAGCCAGCACTATAACACTGCATTGACAGACCTTCATTCTCAGAAGGGTGTCAGTCCTTTAATCTACTTCTCGTGTTAGGGAAGGATGAGCAGAAGATAATAACAACCTGTTGGCAGCTTTGGTATTAACTTGGGCCGGGGCTCCCTTCAGCGAAGGGAGAGCGCACTCAGGAGGTCCCTTCTTTAGAATGGCACTTGCCCAACATGGAGGTTTTTTTTCTCTTCTTTGAGTTATTAGCTCCTTCTGTAAACAGGAGCTTTGGTAGATTTGGTAAAATCCTTAGTATACCTTTGGAAGGTGAGAAGATTTTATTATGTTTCAGCTCAGCTTTCATCCTCTTTATTTAGTGCTTACCTCCAGATAAACAATATCAGAAACAGAGGTGAGAATTCATTCCTTCCCCAGCTCTCTCTTATGGGGGAATCTTGAGCTGTAAAGACCCTGCGCAATTTCACTGTGAACATTTTAAAGCCCTGATGCTTTCTTTTTAATGGCGTAGGGAGCTAATTGTAAGAAGAGCTCTAGTTAATGCGGTATTCAGGTCACATAAATCCCAAAATCAGAAAACACTCAGGCTGGAGTTTCTGCAGCAATTGCATTTCCATTGCACTGAACATTTGGAGTGCTTCTAGTTTATTCTTTGTGGCTTACAAGATTGTAAATATTTACCATAGTATTTCTGAATTGCCACATAGCTGAGGATGTACTTGTGCACAAAAGGTATCTAGGAAGAGCTACTAAGAGCAGAATTTAATTAGGTGGCAGAAGTTTTTGCTGTTTCTATATCTGATTGCGAGTCTGATGTTTTTCCCAGCTGAATCTGCTTCTTTGTAAACACAAGTGAGAATAATAAAAAAAGCAACTGTATTTTGATCGATGAAGAAAACGTATGCTTTGTTTCGGTTTTCCTGTCCTTCAGGAATAATTACCTTATTGGTCTTTTAAACAATGAGCTGCACTGAGCGTCTTATTCCTAATGTATTTATTTCAGTTGCAGTTTCATTGACAGCCTAGCAAGACCCATATTTCTTCTTATAAAAGGATTTTTATTTTCCACAAATAAAGTGGGTCAGCTCCAGTAGCCCCTCTGCATACACTTTGAAATAATTTACTGCCCAACTACCGCCATATTTTCCTCTTGTGCCTCCTCCACCTCTTCTCAGTATATTCTTATTTGAAAGTCTTTTAGTATTCAAGAAGTCTGCATTTGCCAAGTGCTGTGTTTTCAGCTCCTATTGTTTCCGCATGAATCTTTTTAAAAGAAGGTATTGTTCTCTTCATGCCAAGAAATTAAGAGTCCATCCTCAGTCTGTATCTGTCTGACTTGTATTTTTCCTCTGGAGCTTAATTTTCCTCTTGCTTGTGTATTTTTGTACAATTTGAAAGATAAACTGCAGAGAGCATCTGGGGTTTCTAAAAGGGCTGGTAGTGCTTCTGCCTTTTTTAATCAGCAGTATTTTCATTTTACGCATTTATTTGCTTAGTAATATTTCCATTGCATGGGTAAAGTAGAACTACATCATCTTCAGTTATGTTCACTTGCCCCTCTTTTGCTTTGGAATCCAGTTCTAAATTAATGTCTCTTAATAAAACAAAGATTATAATCATAAAACATTATAATGGGACTTTCCAGCTGATGCCATTTTCCCATGCAGCACTGGAACTTCTCCTTAAGTTTCATATTCGTTTGAAAATACGCTTTAAATTTGGTTTGGATAGATTATTTTTTTAATTTTTATTTTATTTATTAGTATTTTAATGGCTCCAGGCAGAGTGGTTAGAAGAACTTAAACTTAGAAACTCAGGCACAGATACAAGATACGAGTGTTGCTGCTTTCTAATATTTCTGCATTTGGTAAAAGAGCTCCTGTTGCATGCTGCTCCTTCTTCAGCGCTTTAAAAGCAAACTCAGTTACAGCCATTATCAGCTGCTTAACCTGACATAGAAGAAAAAAATCCATTATTCTTTACTGGCCTCATTGACAAATAACAAAAATAGTGATGCTACTAAATGCAGAGAGAAAACAGCAATTAAAAGAGGCTTTTTCAGACTGGTGCTGTACACATCTGTCAGAACCTTTGTGGCTAAGTTATGGTGGAACTGTTTTTGTTAAAGAATTAGGAAAGCTTCGGCCCCAGAAAACAGAAATCTGTGGAGAGGAGAGTCCTATTTTGAGCATGTGACCATCTACTACTATTTTTTCAAAATATGCCTAAACTTTTATCGATATCACCTTCTGGGTGATAGACTCTGGAACCCCACTGGTACTCCGTAATTGACACGTTTGAATGCTGGAACTCTGTATTCTTGTCATAGTCTATTGTTTGATTAATTTTCCTGGGTGGGAAAGGAAGAAGGGTATTAAAAATGTATCTGCTTTTTCTGTTGTCTGCTATTTAGGTATCAATTATTATCGTCTTCCTACCAGTTTTGTGAAGTAATGATACCAAGCAGTAAAAAATAGGAAAAATATGCACCATTATGGGTAGTTAATGTGTTCCTATTTGATTTTTTTCTCTTCTGTGTAAAATATGTCTGCTTTAATCAGAGATAGCGACTAACATTTGTACATTTTGTCAACAGAGTATAATATACTTTACAGTAAGTTCTTCCAAAATCTTTGACTGGATAAAAGACGAATCCATCCAGAAAGTACTGCAGCCTTACGCAAAGTGGCATTATATTGAACGTGACCTCGCAATGTTTAACATTAACATAGATGAAGATTATGTTCCGTGTCTCCAAGGCATAACAAGAGCTAGTTTCTGCAGTGTTTATCTGGACTGGATTCAGTTCTGTGCTAGGAAAAGGGTGGAGGTAAGCTTGCATGAGTTTTTAGTAGTAGTATTAATTCTTGGGATAGGAGTTAAATGATGCGTGGTTACTCTTTTGCTTGCTCAGTGTTAATACCATAAAATTTATTTCATTTAAGCTGTCGGATTTAACATAAAAGGAAAAAATATGTTTTGTGGAATGGAAAAAACGTATTTTGGGGACTACCCTTGTGCAAAACCTAGAGTTTTAAGGAGTCTTAGTCTTTGAATACTTCCTTACTGTGCACACTTTCAACACCACTGCTCATCAGCTCTAGAAAGCATGGATATAACAAGTGCTATAGAAGTACTGCTAGAGCAGGCTCCACTTGGGGAATGTAATCAGAGCATTACTGTTCCATCAGGGCTGCCAGTGTTTGGGTACATTTGCCAAAAATTTATGATGTTTGTGTATCCTTCCCAAAAATTTGCCTGTATTTGGGTACAGTCTTCAAATGGTAGGGGAGTGTATAACAAACTCACTGCTAGTATAGGTCACCTCTGAGAGCTCATGATTCGAATGTGAACCGTGACACAGAACGATGTGAAATTACTCCGCAGCTCTAGAAGGTCAAGGGCAGGTTTACAGCTATGCAGTCACGTGCTTTGACCCACTAAGATTCCTGATGGGCAGGATTCATTTATTGGAAATGCACTACTGTATTTCCATGGAATACTCAAAATAGCCTGGGGGAAGAATACAGTTTCAAACAAGCATATTCCCTGGATTTAATTTTCTGAATTCTTGCTGATATTGGCAAAAAATGAGATGTGTCTCTTTCCTGGCCACCATGCACTGTTATTTGTGTGTTTTTCATTCAGGATCACTGAGTGCACGTCCCGTTTGCTACCACTGAGCTTAGCTGGCATAACATCGCCGAATCTTAATGGTTCTTCTTCGCTTCAGTTCCTTTTCATGCCTTTAACCCTGAATACCATTCCACCAGTTCCTCTGCATATTATTACATTGATGCTGTTTTCACTGAATTGTCCTCTGAGCCTTCCCCACCATCTCCTCCTACTGGGAATATTTCATCTCTTTTCTTTCCCATCTCTATGTCTCAGCTCCCAAGTTCTGACACACAAAGAATTGCAGGTGCAGGGAAAGCCACTGTTAAATGAAGCTTTGTCCCTTCTTATGTGGCTGAGACTTTCAAATAGAATAACAGATTTATGGATGCCCGACAGACTTTAAACTTACCAGCTAGACTTAAAAGGGCAAGCGAATGCCTGCACTGGTGGGCACACACACACACATATTTATACACTTTTTACATCTTTTTCTTTTACCTCTGTTTTTGTAATTCACTGACTGTATAGAGAGAAGGTTCAGGCAGGAGATGAGATGTAAAAAAAGCTTCTCTGTACACACAGCCCTGAAAATCAATGTATTTTATAGCAGGAGCTACATTCTCCGTTATAATTGGCTTCAGATTCAGAGTCAAAGCAAACTATAAGAAATCACTCATTGCATGGACTGACATAATGGTCTGTATCCTCCTAAAGATTCACATTCATGAGGGGTTGTTTCAGTTTTTTTCTCTAGCTTGATAGCAAAGTTTTCTTTGCAAACATTTCAGTAAAGAAACTCTCTTGAGCTAGAAAACGTAAATGAAATGTTTTGACTGTTAAAATGTGAGATCAGTGCCATCCATGGTATACAATTTAGATGCATATTGTTATTCACTAGAAGTGTGTTCCCCCAAACTTTTCCAAAGAGATTGTTCTTCTGGAATCTGTGGCGGGGTTTCATAGGCACTGCGTCCCATGAAAAGGGGTTTGGCCGCCTCCAGTTGCAGCATCTCTCAGCAAGAAGGAACCTGCTCTGGTTTAGAATGCCAGATGGTGGGGGGTTCATGGCTGTCACAGTTTGAGAATGACAGACAGACGCTCTCTACTAACCCCTCTCC